TTTTTTTTTTTTTTTTTTTTTTTTTTTTTGAGCAAATGAATTTCTGTGCCCAGGAAAGGGACACAATTTCAGGAAGATGTAGAGGTGCAGCAGGCTGGTTGTGAGGACGTTTCTGGGTGCAGCGGGCACAAGAGCAGCACTAGGAGCAAAGAAGGGCAGGGGAACAAAAGGATTCTGCCTCTCTGGTGTGGCAGAGGGGATGGGGATGGCAGGGCRCAGGATCCATGTTGGATGCTCACCATAAAGATTTGTTCTTTTGCATTTGTAGGATCTGCAGCTAGAATATGGTCATGGTCCTCAGGGTGGCTACTTCTTGGGTGCAAATAAGTGAGTAAGCAACGGTATTTTCTGCCTTTAATTCARTCTCATCTGTTTTAATATAAAATCACGAGTATGTGTTAAGCGTGTTAACAGAGACCGATGTGTTGAGCTTGTTTGCATCAGTTACAACTCCAAAATCACTCTTTGTTTCTGCTGTGGTAGCAAAGCCAACAATGCAGTTACAAAACCTTTCAGTATTTGAGGCTGTGTTGATTATATTGCCTTCATGTTGCCATGAGCTTTCTCTCTAGCAGAGCCTTTGTCTTGGTCAGCTTACAGACAAAATGTTCATTGTGGTAGGTCCCACAAAGCACAGCCTCATCCCATCTAGAAACTACAAGTGCTGCCACTTGAAATGGTGTTACGCACCCTTGTAACRTTGTAGGACAACAGGAATGTTCGCTTGTAAGGCCTTTAAAAATAAAATATGTGTTGTCAGAAGTCCTTCAACCTCGTGTTTATAGGYCTCACCATTTTGTCCTAATAATTTGTCCTGTTAATCATATAAAATAGTTTTTCATGTCGTTAGTCTTTTCCATTCACCTTCTCAAKTTAATTTCTAACTAGACTCATTGAAACCAGAGTGCCTAATTGTGAATTGCTTATTTGCAAAAAATGGAGAAAACTTCATCGTAGAATGTACTATTTGTAGGCAACTTATTTTGGGGGAAGTATGAAACACAGATACCTTTGGACCATTATCCTGATGATTCCAGTTCCTGTGTTATACCTTCTCTTCTTCTCTGCTCAGACTATTCTCATTGTCATGTCGTGTTGAAATATATTTTCAGGGAAGGACTCAAAAAAGAAGTTAATGTTACAAAAATTAACTAGRGAAGAAGGAATTTATTCCAATAATAATTAATTCCTCTCGTCAGTTTGACTTTTTTTGATGGTGATAATTCTGGATATTGTGGCTTTGTTCTAAATTGAATCAAGTTAAATCAGTCCTTACTTTACAATGCAAGGAGCAAGGTCTACTTCACTCAATGACAGCACATTAGCAAATGCAGCTTAAAGTGTGCAAATGAAAAATGCCCCTGTGCTCAYTCATATTTAGGTAGTCGATATATGTTCTTGAAAGCTGACTAAAATRCTTTGGATTATTTACTCACAGAAGCATTTGCCCTGGCTTTTGATAATTAAGTTTGTGTGCAGTGATTAACTCTTGGTTTTGTTTTGTTTTTATGCTGAAGGAGTCTCTTAAAATCGGTTGAAGAAGAGCTACATCAGCGGTAATTCTGCCCTTTTTTTCCTCTTGTGTTGCAGTCATTTGTGTGTTGATTTCTTATGTGGGTCAYAGCAAGCTCTTGTTTGTTCCTCTACATGGTGAGAAGATTGGGGAGGGGCTTAGTTGTCTGGATTGCAGCTGTGCTTTTAATAATTATAATAATGATACAGATCTAACAGRCAGTAAAACTCTTTCATAAAAGAGGTAGTAGCCCTTGAGCTCACRTGTTTTTGCAGTCGCCAAGGGCCTTTTAGTAAAATGGACTCAGCCATAGTACCTTGTTCATTTCCTTAGGGGACATGTGGCACATTTAGAAGATGATGAGGATGATGCAGACGATGATGCTAAACAGTAAGTCCTTTTTTCATGTAAAAATAAATAATCTGATTCTTGAACAGATAAAAAAAAATAAAGTAAAATCTGGGATTGAAGTGTCTTCACCCTAACAGTTCAGGATTCTTTTTCTTAAACCATTTTAAAGATATATTTTTAAAGTGGTTTGTTATCTGAATTTTGCTTATTTTTATGGTAAATTTGTGATYAGTTAGGGTAGGAAAAATCTTATTCATCACTTAATACAGCTTATATTACAGTGTCCTATTGTCTTTTATTGAACAAAATCTTGGCATCGGTATATTATGCCAGTAAAACAGCTAAGTCTAGTTCTGTTGTCCTTTTTAGACCTAATGTCTATATATTCAGAAATCTGTTAAAAAATATATGTAAAATATTCTCAATAGTTTGTCTGCATTCAGGTGGATGGTTGAGACAATGTTAACTTGCATTCTTTTATCACAAGCTTATGTGATGCCAAGACCATGTCGATAAACRTGTCTTAAAGTGATTATGTTCATTCTTAATTCCACTGGAATAARTATCATTCTTTCACTTTTTTTAAATAGTGAGTGAGAGTTGAAACATCTTTAATGAATCCCACAATGACCATGTGGAATTCAACATTCCTCAGTAAATTCAGTGTAGAAAAGAAAGATGGTTTTGAAACAAGATTCTTGTTTTTCTTTCCTGTTAATGAATAATTTTGAAAGCTGTTGCTTCATAGCAGGAACTTGTAAACAGGGCATTATCTATTGCTGGRTTGTTTACTTTTCTACAGAGAACTAAATATCTCTGTGAAAATTTTTATTGCCTTATTTTACTACTGTTCTCCTGCAGTGAAGGCGGTGGTTTTTATTACTGTGCACTGAGCAGGAAGGACAGTATTCTTCAAGAGGAGGGTAAGGCTGCTGGTATTTAAGGGGCCTGAGTTTGGATAGGTGTCAGCACTTGAAGTTTGCATTTCTTGATGATCACCTCCTCAGAGTCAAGGAAGGCTGCCATTCGACACAMTTCATTCTTACAGCAGAAAAAGAATTTTTAGCCATATTTAGCAGGCTTTTTTCCCTAGCTCATTTCTTAAGAAATTCTTCGTGTTTTCTTATTAAGCAATTGCTTAAAGATGTGCTCAGGTGCACAATTCATCAATAAAACAAAACTCCACGGTATCTCCCGTGAAGAGAAAATCATGATAATGTTACTCCTTGGTGTGTTCTCAGCACATGGACCAAGCTGAGAACCTGCTTTGCTCGGAGCTGTATAGATTTTGGTGCTAGTGATGGTAACCCAGGCTTCTGGTAAAGCAGGATATCACARTCCCCCAGAGCTCCCTACCACCCACTCCATCTCTGATGGCAAAGATGCTCTGGATATCGGTACTGCTGCAGGTCAGCTCAGCTTGGTTCCTCTTGCATTTGTGTTAAAATCTAGCTGTTTTGTGTGTACAGCTGTGTGGGTCCTGCTTCGTTTTTGCTAAATGTTGCTTTCTCCTCTTACTGCTCTGTTGCAGCCAGGATAATCTATTTTCAGTCACGTTCCAGGATTTGGAGCTCTCAAAGTGCTTGCACTGACTGCTTTGCTTTGAGGTCCTTGTTTCTCATATAAGCTCCATTAGAACCTTCCTACAGCATTGGCGTCTTCAGGCTTTTCTGTTGCTGTCGTGTTCCTGAGGATTTTCTTTTTCAGACTGAATAATAGCTTCTAGGAGATTGCAATTTGTCTGTCCCTAAGGAATTGTCCTTGGGTGTCCAACAGGTGCTGTACCAAGAATGTCCTGGGCTTTATTGTTTCTTTTCATGTTTCATCCCAAGGACTCTTGCCCTACAGAGAGGGCCTGTAATTTCTCAGCTGTGAATCAGTTTCTACATCCATGATTGTTCCCTTGCTGTCAGCTTGAGCCCTACAGTATGTGGGACATGCTCTTGGCCATCAGCTCAAATGAGCTCACCTTCTCAAATGAAGATTCAGAGCTTTTTCTTGATGGAGCTGCCATTGAAGAGCATGTGACATTGGTCACTTCTTCACTTGGATCCAGAACACAGACAGATGAAGCAGCTGGACCCTTGCCAGTCCAAATTGACACTGCTGTGTGGTTAAACTTGATGGTCTTGAAGGTCTTTTCCAACCCTAACAATTCTATGATTCTATGGCTCTAAAGCTGAGTGATTCATAGCAGAGGATCCACAGACATCAGGGAACTAATACAAGGTATTTTCCATCTTCTCAACATTTTGATTGTTTTGTTACTTCTTTCAATGTTTAGCAAAGCTGTCACTTGAATGTGCAGGATATGAAAGCCGTGAAATATAAAATTGGTGTCACCACTCTACATCATCAACAGCAATAAATTTTATAGAAGCTTTACCGTTGTCACCTGGATGGTCACTCCTTTTCACAAGTTCTTGATGTTTTTCTTAACGTCTGACTGCCCAACAACTTTATGAGACGGAAGAAAGGATGCGGAGCAAGATAAAAGCAGATCTTGGACACGTGAGGACTTGCCCCATTGTGCATAACTTTTGCTGTCTTTGTAGTTGAAACACGCGTCACAGGGGAACCCATTCTCCTACCTCCCCTTCCAGCTTCTCAAAAAAAAACCCAAAAAGCCATGACAGAAACTGAAAAGATTGAAGCCAACCAGACAAGTAGTTGATCTGTAAACAAGCAAACATCTCGCTGCTTGGATATTTTCCTAAAGCCTTGGAGGAGCCTAATTTAAAAATAACAAAATCTTGTGCAAGAATGCCAAGTTTTCACAGCTGCATTCCTGATTTCTTTAATGGAAATAGTTTTCTAGTCCAAAAAGATTAGGAAATGGGACAGCACAAGACTCTGTGGAAACATTAGGAATTTAGGAATAAGAAAAGCAGCATGTTCTTGTAAAACACTTAGGTGACAGACGAAGAAGGACCCTCAAGTCTTGGCTTTTTTTTCTCTTATGCAGACCCCTTGTGCTCCAGAAGCTCCAGAAATGCTCTCATGTTCAAGAGTTATCTTGTTTAGCAGAGCCCTGTGAAAAAGGGCAACTCCTGAAAAAAAAGAGAGAGAAAAATAAAAGCAGAGAGCAGACTAGCTGCATGTGGTAGGGGGTTTCACTTCCATGCAGGAAGTTATCTAAAAGTCAGTGGTGACTTTTTCAAGGAATGCGTTTCCAAAGGAATTTCTGCACGAGTATGTGTGTCTTTAGTGAGTCAACTCAAGGCTCTCCTGCCCTGCAGAGCAGGATCTGGTACTGGAGTTCTGCCTTCTGCTATCTGCGCTGTGCATGACAGTAAGAAAACAGTACTTTGAAACAGGATCGATTATGCAGTTATTTGGATGTAAAAATGCTCTTGACACATTAATAGTGTTTGCTTAGATTGATAAAATTCTGAGTTCTCTCAAACGCTGCAGTATGAGAGTCAGAAAGAGAGCCTGGGTAACAGCCTGTTTCGTTTCTTTTCTTTATAGTGCTACTATGAAACCTAAAGTGCCACCTCCTTTGCCACCAAAGGTAGGTTGGGAGAGGGCTTTCACAAATTCCTTTTCCTTTGACGGGAGCAGAATTGGGTAGTTCAAAATGTAGTACTGCAGAAGTAATTTAAGAGTAAGACTAACAAATTCAGCAACTGTTTGCTAATTTCTGGTGGAAGAATATGATTTTTGAATGTGTGCTTCGATCACATTAGGTTTTATGTACTACCTCTTGAGTAGTATGCAAGAATAATTGAATCTTCTTGAACTTAAATTATCTTTTTAAGAGGAAAATTAAGAAGGGGAGGAAATGCTAATTATTTGTTGTTGCGATGTCAGTTGKCTATTAACTTCCCTAGGCAAAAACCGAAGGTTTGATTATTTTCCTTCCTGAATTCATAAATTTTGTATAAATGAGAAAGATTCTTACAAGCAGCGTTGGTACAGCCACTGTCTAAACCATTTTGTCCCTTGTGATGAATACTCCCATCTGGGATTTTCTCCTTAAAATTGATGATCCAGATGATCCCATCTGGGATTTTCTCCTTAAAATTCTGGCCATACCATTGAACGTTCCTGAGTTCCTACTTATATCTCTGATTTGGTTATCCATGGTCATGAACTGTGACGTGTCAATATACACAGTATTTATTTATTTTTTTTTAGCCTAAATCCATCTTTATTCCCCAAGAAACTCATTCTTCTGAAAATGATAATGAAGGGACAATCAAAAGATGCCCGTCATCAGAGAGTCCAGCAAAATCTGCATCTCAGGTTCCGCCCAGGCCACCGCCACCTCGGTTACCTCCACAGAAATCTCATGTCTTAGGTAATAAGAGTGAAACCAAGAAGTCTAAAGATATTTCTTAAATAATGAAGTGTGGTTTATTTCTGCATCACACATTCAAAGAGGCTGTGGTAATTTTTCTGTAGTGGGCAAGTAGCAGAAAGTGCATGACAGCACAGTTGCCTGAGGAGCTCATGCTTCAGCTCCACACAGGGGGAATTTCTCTTTCAGTGAAGCCAGAAACAGGATTCTGCTCATGTCAGTGGCAACATTAAACAACAGGCCTGTAATGTAACGGATCAAGATTGCTACAGGGAATAAAATGAGTTTTCCTGTTTGTTAGCTCCAGGTCCTGCCCTGCTGTTGTCACTTGGGTTCTGTGAAGAACAGAGTTGGGCTTTGAGTTCCCTTCTGTATATAATGAACTGGGCAGGGTGGTATGGCAGCTAATGTGCTTATTTACTGTTTATTTGAGCTGTTTCTTTGGTGCTTGGGTTAAGGTCTCTGATGTTTTGAGTGCTCTACTAGACTGGTTTTGTTCTAAGCAATTTTAGCATCTGACTTTTCATTGGTAACTTACTAATATTTCATTACTATGCCTTTACCACCGCAGTGGATTTGTTACCTTGAAGTATGTAATACACTTAAGCAACTAGCACTAATAAATGCCTCAGTGCCACATATAGTGAATTGACAATCGAATTGTTARCTATGCAAATTTTTCTTGAATTAGAGGTATTAAATACATTGTTCTAGCATCAATGGCAATGACTTTATTTTGACCCTTCAGAATTGCCTGTAGACTACGCTACTGCTCAGTTTGTAGGCAGAAGAAAGGAACATATCTCTGAAATGTCTTTTTTTCTTTGAGGTAATGGAGTCACTTCTGTSCAGTTAAATGGTGAAAGAGAGGGATCGCCACATCAACAGATTGAAGCTAGAGACATGCATTTTTCAAAGAAAGAAAAGAAGGAAATACTGGTAGGTATTTAAGCATTTAGGTATTGTTTAACAATGTCTCTACTGCTTTCAGTGTGCAAATGGAGAAAAGCAAGCAAAGTCTCTAGAAATGACCCTGAGYGGCATTTCATTTTGAGTCAAAGCACGTTTTAACTAGATTGTCTAGTTCATGATATGCTCTCAAGCTGACGTTTGAATCCTCTGACTTTATTTCTTATTAGAAACTGTAACTTAATCGTGAATGTAGAAGATTTACTGTTTATATTCCCATATTTGTGTGTGAAGTAATGAAAGAGAGGATGTGAGAGAGAGATATTTTACCGAGCAGAAGCTGTATAAGCAAACAAGGAGATTAAGGAATATGCTGCCACCTGATGGCTTCCTGAAGGATTTCACCAGCCCAGGGAAAGGATCTGGATTAGGGCTGTTCCTGGATGAGTCCCTACTATATCCCAGATACAGACATACAAGCATCTCGGAGTCTAGAGGGGGAGGAAAAAAAAAAAAAAAAGATTAAGAAGTTGGATGTGGGTTAGATAAGAGCTTGTTGCCTACAGGCCTCTGTAGCTCTGGGTCTTCAGATTTATTAGTTTGGATATGGTGTCAGATTTGAGCTCTGCATGCTCAAATGAAGTTGCATTTGGGCAGCAAGTGGAGTTTTTCATCGGATGCAACGTGATCCAGCTGTGGGACTGAGAAAAGGGAACGTTCTTGCTTCCCTTGAGCCCGCGTTCCTGCAGCCGCCCTGCGTTGGACCGAGAGATCGTGCGATGTGACAACTTTCTTCTCCCCCAAGGGACTTTCKCCATCAAAGCAGGAAGTGACTTTCAGAGTGGTCACCCTGCTGCTACTGTGACACAGAGCTGGAAGTGGGGACATGGGACAGAAGAGAGGAGGAATCCCATGTTTCGCTCGGTTTAAACATAACCTGGAACTGCATCCATCAGTGTCTCCTTTTAAGGATGGTGCTAGTAGTGCTATGAAGGAAGTGAAGAGGAAATAGGGCAAAAACACGTTTTGGTTTTATTTTGTGTTAAGCAAATGCCAGTAACACAGGCGATCTGTTAGAAAGTATGGTTTCCTGAACTACTTTGAACTTGGCCTTTGAAATTGCACATTTGAGATTTTCTGTGTGCTAGTAATAACAAGTATTTCATCAGTTGTGTTTTTTGACTCAGAGAAAATTATGTTCTTTTTATTTATTTTATTATTATCCTACCGATACCGAGCTCAGTACTGAATGACAGAGTTACGGTCATTACTTGGAATACTGAACAGCTGCAATATTGCTTTAACTTTGTATTGCTGCATATATTCTGATGGCTTTCATGCATTTTCTTAATGCAAAAATGAGGAACAGATGATGCAGAAATTCATCTGGGGATATCAGGAATCTTACTAGAGGCCTTAACTGGAGAAAATGATACGAGCAGTTTGTGCTGTGGCAATACTGGTGAGGGCTGGTCAACAAACTCCTATGCAGTTRTGGAAGTGGGGGTTGGAAGGAAGTTTTCCAGCCTTGCCTTGTGCTCAAAGTGGGGTTGCAGCCCGTTTTGTAGTTTTGTAAACACTTGTTACGCAAAAAAGAAAAGTACTGGCTTTTTCTTTTCTGTTGGTATAATTATAGTTGTTTGTTTACCAGTTTCTTTCAACAGGAATATAAGAAAAATGTGTGTATGTTTTTTTTTTTTCATTTTGCATCCTAGTTAGGCAGGTAGGGGGAGAATACGTGCACATGCCTGTATAAGCATTCTGTTTATTTTTATTTTCTAGAAACCAATTAGTAATGGCCTTCCTCCCACGCCTAAAGTACATGTGAGTATTGCTGACTCATAAAAAGGTATTTTGCAGCTAGAACATGTCTTCCTACTAAAGAAAGGACATTTTTGAATGTCTTGTTTGCTTAAAAGAAGGAATCTATAAAAGCCAGTATCTCTTACAAGTGTTCAGTAACAGCTACACTAATTCATGAGCTACACTTTTTTATGTTTTCTGTAATAATATTTGGGAGATTTTGTTCTCTTTATAAAATACTTAGTACTTACTAGTCAGTCTTTCTCTGTAGGATCTGGGGATCTTATACCTCAAGAATTGCAAATATACCTCAGGAATGCTGAGTTTATGGAGTTCAAGTCTAGGTTGAGAAACCTCTGAATATGGGATTCTTAAGTGCCTTAGGACTGAGATAACTATTATGGACATCTATGTGCAACTTCTTAATGTAAAATAAGCTGGAATTTTACTGCAGTGTCGGTGTGGACACATCACGGTGAGTTCAGCCAACACTGCTGTCAAAAGAGTCAGGCTCTCCCTTTTCTTAGCCATTTATTCCTCTCATCGTTTTTCTCATCATTTTTTCACCATTTTGAATACCAAAATAAAATTACTACAGTAACGTTTAAGTGCAGATGATGCTGTTTCTACTTCCTGCTTGTTTTGGAGAAGCAGAGTGGGTCAGCGCAGATGTCCTGCTTGCATTCCTTGCAGTTTATGCTAAAGACTCCAACACAAAGGGTTATTCCAGAGCTCTCATTTCTTGATACATTTACCCTCATTTCTTGAGGTCAATCCTGTTTTACTGACTAAACRCTGACTAAACAGGTGTGCGTAGCTGAATGAATGTATGCCAAAAATCTGGAAGTATAGCTAGCACTGAGAAGAACTGAATAGTCATGGAGAAGGGAAGATGAGATCAGCTCAATAGCTGGAATGAGGAAACAGAATAGTCCAAAAGCAGCTGGAACTTTAGCAACGAGAGTTGCAGCAGCATTTTGGCTCTGTGGGCTTCGCAGAGAGTACTGGACTGAAAAAGGCCAGAGGAAATGGTTGTTCTCTTCTGATTTCCATCCTGTCCTCCTTTCATGTCAAACTTATTGTAGAGCTCAACTAAGTCTCTGTCACAAGCACTGGTTCCCCACAGTCTGCAGSCTCTTTCTCCAGTGCTTGGAAAAGACTGGGAAGACTTGGGCAAGTTCAAGGAGCAGCAGAAATATTTTCCCTTCCTTCAGGACATCAGTGCCCTGAGAGCAGGGCAGAGTGCCTCTCAATGTCCTGCCTCCTTGGGAGGAGACTTACTAACAGCAGGAGGAAAAAAAGAAACCTTCATTGTTTTTCTTGATCCTTCTCTTTACTCCTTGCTGCTGAGGAACTTTATCATACTGAGGCTCTCAGGAAGCTGAGATCTGTCTCTGTTGTATCAGCATCTTCTTGTTTTTCTGCCTTGCCATCTATATCTTCGCCCTTATGTCTGTTCTGGCATCTGCAAAAGGATCCTCTCTCTGCTTAGGAAGCAGTGAGCTCCCTGGCTCCGTCCTGAGACTTCTGTGACAATCCTTGCAGGACTGAAATCTTTCCCCTTTGCGGTAGGGTCTCTTCTCACTTTTGGCCAATTAACCATAACGGGGCTGATTCTTCCCTCATTGAAGCAAACGTCAACCAACTCGCAGGCTTCGTGATGCTGATGACAGGCAGCTGCCTGAGGCRCAAGGAAAGGTCTAAATTCTGCAACTTTTTATTTTAAAGGATTATTGCTGAAGTTCTTTTCTGCCAGATCTGTCAGAGGTTTATTTTAGGAGACACTCGGTAGTGCAAATAAAAGAAAGCAAATAGTAGTGACATTAAGACTGTTCTGTTAAATATGGCAGAAATAAAAGGTCACTGATGGTACTGCTTGTGTTTTAAAATTACAATACACAGGATCCTTCCTCAGTTTTGTCGTGTTTGCGGTAATCCATGCTTAGGGTCTTAATGTAGGAGCTTCCCCAAAAGACCAATTCTGGCATATTTACTCAGGTTGTACAGAGAAAGAAAACTGTTTAAAAAAAAATCCCATTTGATAGCATATAAGATTGGATATAAGTTTGGATAAGATTATTTCTGCATGATCTGAAGCTATACTCTTGACTGTGTGATCTTTTTTGTTTGTTTTTACTACTTTAAGTCAAAACCAATCCTATTAGAATCTCACAATCTAATTTTTCCAGTGTAATTTTTTCATTGCTTTTAGAAACTCCTGTTTTTACTTTTACAGATGGGTGCTTGCTTCTCAAAGGTTTTCAATGGCTGTCCCCTGAAAATTCATTGTGCAACATCATGGATAAATCCAGATACAAGAGGTATTATATATACTTTATCTATTTTATCCTCTCCTGAAGTTTTCAAGAATGATTAAATAAGGAAGATAGTTGCTTTCAAAATAGATTCATTTTTATAGGTAGAAGGTCTTTCTTCATCATGCTGTTTGAAGTTCAGTGGATTTCCTAGTTATGTTAAGATATGAGCTGTGCAGTTTTCAGCTTTGCTTAAAAAGAAACTGCATATGGAATAAAGATAAGGACASATTTGTTTGATATTCAAAATTCAACATTGTAGTCAAACATACCAATACTCATTGATTTTGATCCAGGCTGCTGGATCTCCTTTCATATTCACTTACATTTCGGTGCTTTACCAATAGTCTGGAGAATACGTGCATAATGCCTGCAATTTCACCTTTTGCTTAGTGACTGTATAGCTAGATGCTATTGAGCAAATAAGCAAAAAAACCTTAAGTTTTTTAGCAACTGAAATTAGTTCTGTCCCATTTGCATGTGCAAATACAAATGGAAGTATTAATTTTCATTGCAACTGCAAGAAAGAAGAAGGGAACGATGTTCTGTAAGTGAGGTGTCATGAAAGTATTGCCCTCACTGTTACTATTGAAGTACTCCAGGAAACAACGTGGAATCTGTCAGACAATATAGGAAAACGTTTAAATTGTTTCATCGACATAAGTGGAAATTTTTCACCTGAATTCCCGTTCACAATTGTATCACTGCTGTTTTTGTTTGAAAAGTTAGCTGCAAAAATGAGACTGGTTTTTCCTCAGGTATTACAATGGCTCAATCCACAAGTTTTAAGCTTCCTGGACAAAATTAATTAAAGCACAATGACTATTATAGGCTGGTTAACTCCAATGTTTAACTCTTTTGAGTCAGTCTCTCTTCCCCTCTCCCTGTTAGGTTCAGAAATTGCATGCACTTATAACACTTCTATTAAATCAGGATTTCTGGATTTGTTTGTTTACAGATCAGTACTTGATATTTGGAGCAGAGGAAGGTATTTACACACTGAACCTCAATGAACTTCATGAAACATCAATGGAGCAGGTATGCTTCTGTTGTGAAGTTTTGGATAATGATTTTAAGAAAACAACAACAAACTCTTTGCTGCAGCTACATAGCCACCAGGTGGAATCATAGAATGCTTAAGGTTGGAAGGGATCTCAGAGGTCATCTAGTCCAACCCCCCTGCATACACCTTAAATGTTTATATAAAGGATACCTCTCAATTGTGTGCAAGGTTTAAGTTTTTTGTAGGTTGAGCCRTGGTTAATTAGGAGGTCTGCAGATATCGATGTGTTGAAATTCATCGCAGTGCATCCAGCAGTTAAATATTTTGCAGCAGTTAAATATTTTTTAAATAGTATGGAATTTCCTTGACATATTTTGTTTGAAGATTCCCATTTTCTTTAAAGCTGTGTTGCGAGATAGAATATTTACAGCAAATGTGTTAGAGCTATAAAGTAGGAAGATCCTTTATTTGCTAGATTTGATTCTTGTGGCCTTAAAAATATCTTCGGTGATGAGATTGAACTTACTGAATCCCAATTAAAATTCTGTCGTTAAAGAATCTCATGAATGATAGTTTGGGGGTGGAAAAGTAGGGAGGGACTAATTGCAGGATTTTCTGTATAGTCTCTTCTCTTAATCTCTAAGAAACGTTTTTCTTTCCTGCCTTCTCCCTAACTTAGGGAGCTRTGTATCTGCCATCAGGATGGAGGAATTTTCAAGGACAGCCTTGGCACTGTAAGCTGAAGGCAGTGGGGTTGGTTCATCTTCAAGGTCCAGACATCGTAGATCCGTCTGTGGTGTTGGGCAGGCAGCCTAGCTCGCTTGCATTGAGGTCCATGTAATCCACACTGTTGCCTCTCTGCTGAGGTACCTCCCCCTGCCCCACAAAGGATATACTACCATATTCARACCCTTGTTTCTCATAACTATAGGATTTAACAAATGACAGCTCTGCCTCGATCACTGGCTGCCTTCCTTGATCGCTACTTAAGTGTGATGTGAAATCGTATGGGAGGTTCTTCATGAGGATGATCAGGGGCCTGGAACATCTGCCCTATGAGGAAAGGCTGAGAGAGCTGGGCCTGTTCAGCCTGGAGAAGAGAAGGCTGAGCGGARATCTGATCAGTGTCTATGAACACCTCAGGGGAGGGAGTGAGGAGGATGGGGTGGCCTCTTTCAGTGGTGGCCACTGATAGAACTAGAGGAAACGGCCGCAGACTGAAGCACCAAAAGTTCTGCAGGAACTTAAGGAAACATTTTTTGACAGTGAGGGTGACAGAGCCCTGGAACAAGCTGCCCAGAGAAGTTGTGGAGTCTCCTTCTGTGGAAGTCTTTAAAACCTGCTTGGACACAGCCTGTGCCACATGTTCTAGGTGACCCGGTGTGTGTAGAGGGTTTGGACTGGATGATCTCTAGAGGTCCCTTCCACCCTTAAGGATTCTATGATTCTTTAAAGGGCCAATTTTAGTCACTTCAAGCGAGTTGGGTTACAGTAGTCTTGTAAGTGGCTGTAGCTGCCGGAAGATGCTTTATCTGCTGAGGTTTGTTGTTTAGCATCTCTCCTGTGAAGAAGAGAGGTTGGTTGTTGTAAAAGCTTTTGGCGAAAAGGTTGGCTTGATCTTTGGCTTGACGCATTGTGGACTAATTATAGTACATTGAACACATGGATATGAAATGTTCTCTTGTCTAAATGTTAATGTGTATGTAAAACATAGCTTGTGTGCCTAAGGTTTTACTCTGAATTAACTCTGAAATCCAAGTAAATATTATGTGACTTAAGCTAATTTCTGCTTAAAAAAGGCAAGTCATTATTAGTTTTGTCCCACCGTCTGTGCAGATATTAATTCATCAACTTAATGTAATCGCATTTTATGTATATACACATATATAAATTTTTTTTTTCCTTTATCAGCTATTTCCTCGACGGTGTACATGGTTGTATGTCATGAATAATTGTTTGTTATCCATATCTGGTGAGTTACTCTGCTATCTTTGATCCGTAGTGCCAGCATGCATTTTGTTTGTATTTCAGTTGTGGTTTTGTTTTCTAAATTCCAGGTAAAGCTTCTCAGCTTTATTCCCATAATTTACCAGGACTCTTTGATTATGCAAGGCAAATGCAAAAGTTACCTGTTGCTATTCCAGCACACAAACTCCCTGACAGAATACTTCCCAGGTAAATATGCATTAATCACATAGATCAACTTGATTCCAAGAATTCATTTGCTCGTGAAACTTTAGGAATCTCAAATAATTTGGAGCTAAATTGAAGAGATTACCATGAATAATTCATACAGGCATAAATGAGAAAGTATGCACCTAAATTTACCTGAATGGAGATGTGAATATACTTTTACTAGAGAGCTGGTTTTCCGTTTATTTCAGTCTTCTTGTCAGGTAATGTCTAGTATAGCAAGTCCTACTCGTATCTATTATGAATCAAAACCTGGGATCAATGTTGTGCTTGTGACATATCAAGTAGGTAGAAATAGTAATCTAACATTAATTAGCTTGCTTGAGCTCTGGGCACTGGGCTTCTGTTTTTCCATTCTAACATAGCAGAGGGGGAAAGGTAGAGGATATCCATCTGAATGCCAGTAATCGTTGAGGAAATGATGGGTGTTTTGGAGAGGCAAAACTGGTTTTCTCCAAAAGGGCCAAGATGAGCGAGACTGCCCTCATGGCAGAGGGATCAAGTTGATGAGTCAGTTGGAAAGTTAGGAAATTAGTAGAACTGGAACACAAATTCAGTGCTAAGCTTTGGCAAATCCTTTCTCTCAGGCATAGGGAAAAAGGTAGACTTGACTAAAACAGCACTGAGAGCAGTTGTAATGGACTACACGCAGTATCCTTCTATGCCTACAGCAGACTGTAACACGCGTGCAGTCCCACCAAACTTTATGCCCTAGCAAGGAGCACACACACTCGCAGAGTTTGAGGGTGATGCTGGCTACCACACAAGCCTGGGGAACCCACTTGTGTCTAAGCTGAGGAAGGAGTAGCATGAACCTAGTGTGCAGAGAAACTTTTGATTCCTAAGAAGCACTGTAAATCGTAGTAGCCTTTTGTATGACAGGCTTTTCCCTTAGGAAGTTGGATCATAGCAAACCTGACTCTCGCTGCCTGTAGTGCTGTTAACAACACGCTGGTGTTTAATTATCAGATTCAGGAAAGGCTTCTCTTCAGGCCTCTGCAAACTTAATGGTGTAACACTTGCCCCAAATTGTGTATTCCCTAGAAGGTAAACTCTAACCATCCAAGAAAGCAGCACTTTGTGCTTTGTGTTATTGTGTTCTGTGTGCTTGCACAACCTTGCTGTTCATGTCCCCTCCAAACTCGACCAGGCGAAGTGACTTTGGCTTGAGGGCCATGTCATCAGCGGGCTGATGACGATAATTATCACAAGGGCCAGGTGAGGAAAAGACTCCGACTGCATTCAGCCTGCCCTGCTGCCTCAGCTGTGTTCCAGAGGGCTCAGGAAATTTCCTGTCCAGTTCTGTCACGTCCCCATAAAAATGCAGCTCAGCCTGAATGTGCAAGTCACTCCAAGGCAAAATGCATTCCCAGTTAGAGATTCCCTGTTCCAGTTTGCTGGCTTTCTCTGGGAGGCATCAGAGCGACACTAGCCAGACAGCCCGCCAGTAGCACGAATTGAAGATCATGGAATAACTTCTTTCCTGCCAGTGCATAAAGCACGTTCTGTGGCAGGGTCCTGGACACCAAAGTACAGCCTGAAGAACGTAGGTAAATAGAAGTGTCTGCAGAGAGAAATGTAAAGCAAAATAGGTCTCAGTGTAATGATGTGGGGTGCAGCATGTTCATCTGCAAAATGCCTGAAGCTGAATTTATGATACTTGGTAGACAAACATTTAACAGCAGAGAATAGTTCTGGGGTAAATTTGTTCGTCTTCTTTCCCTCAAGCGTCCTTGAGCAGTTCCTTTCACGCCTTTTGTGACTTCTTTGAGGCCGAATGCTGTGGCCAGGACTCATTTTTCGAACTGTTTATTCCTGTTGCTTTATCAGTCGGTTATGAATAACTTTGCTTCTATGCAAATACATTCCCGGTTCATAACTTTGGCTGTGATGCCTGTCTCTGTCGCTCCTCTTTCCCACAGTATCCACCCAAAATGTTATTTTTGTCTGTCAAGGCCGCTCCGTATTGTCTGTAGTCTTTTACCCTGCAGAGAAGCATTGATTCCCAGTTCTGGCAACTTGCACCATCTTCCCTTGACCTGTTGGCCAATTTTTAAAGCAGTTATTTTTGGGATTTCTCAGGGAGTGTTCCTTGCACATAAGAAAAGACGTTGCAAAGCTGCTTTCTGTCTTCCATTACACTTTTTCTTAACTCGTACTACCTGGAAAAAAAAGAGTTTCAATGCCCATACTGTTAGTTTTGGAAGACTGTGGCCCTGCATGGCATCATCACCCCTGGGTCTCATGTCTAGAGCTGTGATGTTCTCAGAGCAAGAACGGCCTTTCTTTTATCTGCACAGAATGTGAAAGGAGAAGATGCAGCAAGTTACAGTATTAAAAAGAGGGATCACGAGAGTATGGGTAGACTATCCAGGCACGTGTGATAAGTGCCTGTAATGACAGATAGTGGGAAATGATCCTTGAAAGCTGTCTTTTCTCTCCGTTCATTCAGCATAATGTAGCAGCATCTCACTGATGAAAAGGGATCGCATGCCTGTGCTAGGCTTGGTCATCATTTTTAGGACAAGAAAGATACAGATCATTTATATTTTTGACTTTTCAAGGGGAGGGAGGAAATAATTTTTTTCCCYGTCAAAAACTTCCTGAAAAGCAGTTTTGTTTGGTTGTTTCARCTGATGGATAATCCTGTATTTCTATCTTGTAGGAAGTTTGCAGTGTCTACAAAAATTCCTGACACTAAGTGGTGTCAGAAATGTTGTGTTGGTAAGTAAAGATCTGCAGAATAAACACTAATAAGCAATTCAAATAGTAGTATTAAAATCTCTGAGTCCATTTCTAGAGGTAACAAAAAAAAAAAAAGACTTTGTTTTTCCCCTGTTTCCCTGAATTTTCCCTTTCCCTGAAGGATTGACCTGAAGCAGCAGCAGTGGCTTTCTAGCACACAGGTTAAAATTACTAATATGAGACTAATAAAACAAGGAGTACTTTTAATTGGGGGAGCAGTGTTGTCTCTGAAGCCTTTATAGCGTGTTCATATTGCAAACTGCCAAAGAGTAAGAGCTGCAGTGTGCTAAAAATGTGTTTGAAAAAGGGGATGGGGTGGATAGTTTTAGGAAATTAAAAAAGAAAAACCAAAAGAGCAGGAGAGGTAATTGCATGTTCTCCTGGAAGGAAGCTGTTGTCTCTGGAAGCATTTCACCTGGTATTCCATAATCAGTGTTTCTTGTGAGGAACTGCATTATGCAGGAGATTCAGTAGTGAGTGAGGATCAATCTGTAGTTACCACTTTATTATTTTTTTCCAGCTCACCTGCTAAAACCTGACTTTTTTCTGGGATGCAAATCCTTCAGGGTGTGCCGTGCACATCCAGACCTTGGCTTAATTGAGGCATCTAGTCAAGCTGTGAATGTTAATGGGCTGGTGAAAGGAGGTGTTTTGGCCTCACGTGCCTTTGCAGGGATGGAATTTAGCTGGGGAGYGGGAGAGAGCAGAGCAGAGAGGAGCTCTGGCTTCCTGGCATGGAAGTTCATTGCAAAATCCATATAATTTCAGGTGTCCACAAGAGGCAGAAAAAGACCAGAACTTTAGGTCTTGTTTCTTCAACTTACTAGTGTTGACAATTGTATGTGTTATCATTTCTGCTGCTGCCTTCAGCCCTACTAAGGGTCGCACCAAGTCTTATTTCCTGCATTATGCTGTAGGCTTGATGCTGAGTGAGAAAACAGATTCATAAAACTAAATTTTCGTGTCTGAAATGCTGGTGGCTTGCCAGTGGATTTCCCTGTGATGAGARTAGCATAAACATATTGCAATGATGGTGGTAGGGGATCTTTACCTGAATTGGTCTGCTAATTTACTAATGTCTAAAGGTGCTTATTTTTTAATATGCTTTCAAATCAGATCTTCAGAGATATCTGTGGAAGGTGTAACACTTGTTGTCATCTTTATACTGTGCATGTGCTGGTAGTACCTGAGGAGTGAAACTTKGTCATTGTTGGGTACTTTGTAGAATTAAGTTGGAAAAGTGACTGCCACTTTTTGACTTTTCAGCCCTCACGTTTGCAACTTGAGTGCCTTTTTCCACTTTTCACTTGAGCTCTGATTAAACAGCACTGTCATAGAAGGGTTTAGGTTTGAAGGGACCTCTGGAGGTCTTCTAGTCCACTGCCCCTTCACGGGTTACCCACAGCATGTGGCAAAGGGTGACATCCAGGTGGGTTTGGAAGATCTCCAGAGCAGGAGACTCCACAACCTCTCTGGGCAGCCTGTGCCAGGGCTCTGTCACCCTCTCAGTCAAGAAGTATTTTTTCTTCAAATTCAGCTGGAGCTTCCTGTGTTTCAGTTTGTGCTTGTAAGCAGAAAAAGAGCAGTTGAGTGGCAGCYGATGAGGAGGTGACTTTAAAATTGGGTTTCCTGCTGATCTGAATGAAATATTTCTGTATTTCTGGTTGCCAGAAATACAGAGTATTTGGATTTTGGACCTGCAGTGCCTGAAAGGCATCTGAGAAGTTCCTAAATGACAGTGGTCGTTCAGCTCTTGCTGGAGAAGAGTCAGTGTCTCATAGAAAAGGCCATTCTTTAACAGCTTCTTGGGATAAGTTGGACATGGCTTAGGCAAGCTAAAATGGTGGAGGGAGATACTTAGTAGATGTAGTTTGTAAGCTATTTAGAGCACTAAATGCCATGTACCAATTTAAAAAACAATACTAAACTTTATTACAGCTTATTTGGCACTAGCTACTAGTTTATAYGCCAGGGAGAGACAGCCCCTGTTTCTAACAAGCTTGCTGCCACCATAGTGAGGATGTTAACTTCTCAGCAGCCYCCTTTTATATAGGATCAGAGTGCAGTTTTATTTTCCAGATTTGTAAGGACTGTTAGTTGGAAAATGGTCTGGAAGCTGTRTTTGCTGAGCATACTGATGTACTTTGCCTCTCTCTTTTTTGGCAGTGAGGAATCCTTACACGGGTCACAAGTACCTTTGTGGAGCACTGCAGTCTAGCATTGTTTTGTTAGAATGGGTCGAACCAATGCAGAAATTTATGCTCATCAAGGTAATCTTACAATGAGGAGAAATATTCCTCTGCTAGTTTTTCACTCATATTTATCTTGTTATTTATCTTAGTTATTTCTTGTGTTCTCTTGGCTTCTGTTAAATGACATTGAAAATAACTATTTAAATAACTGCAGCTGCAATTACTTGGTCAACGTGRGAAGCAATAGCTTAGAGACTTTATAGCTAGAGAGAGCAGTGCTGGGTATCATACATACTGTATCGTATAGGCAGCCATAAGGAAAGCACATGATTAAAGGCACATCCTGTCTGTTTTAACCACATTGATATGAAGACTCTATAATCTTCAGCTTGGACATTCTACATCTACCAGCTACAGCTATCAGTTATCAGCTGAAGAAATAAACTTAGAGTTACAAAATGTCCTGGATAAAACTCACTACGTTGTTTTAAATGTCTGATAGCAACTCAAACTAAACGTTTAACTTGTTTCTCTTCTAACATTTATTTTTGTTTCTTAATCCAGCACATCGATTTTCCTGTACCTTGTCCGCTGAGGTTGTTTGAAATGCTAGTGGTCCCCGAGCAGGAATTCCCTTTAGTTTGTGTTGGTGTCAGTAGAGGGAGAGACTTCAACCAAGTGGTGAAGTTTGAGACTGTCAACCCAAATTCTACCTCCTCATGGTTTACAGAAACAGGTTTGTGAGCTACTGTGATTGCATTCAGAACTGTTCCTTGCTCTCTTACTATAGCTGAAACACTGGAAAACTAACAGTCGTATCGTTAAGCCTAAAGTGATCATTATGAATTTTTATTTTAAAGGGAATATTTGGTTGCACCTGTTGCACCTTCACTTTTTTTTTTTTTTTTCTTTTAAGCTTTTACCAGTGAACAGAATTGTAGTTCCTTGGCATTTCCATAAATCGGGTTGTACAAACCTCCCATCCCCTGAGCTGTGGTGTGCTTTAGCCTGGCATCTGGCATGACTTCAGTTTATTCGACACAATTTTAATGTGAGCCTTTGAAAATCATTCTAGGTGGTGTTTGGCTGTGCTGCAACTAAGCTAGTAAGTTTAAAAACGGTGTCAACCGGTTATCAACCTCCTGCTTAGGAGGCGGGAAAAAGCGAGAGTATTTCTAGTTTTCTGGTCTTTTTGGCATGAGAAGAGAACTAGAGGAGCTAAATCCTGTGTCCACTGCTGGCCTGGGTGCTGTGTGAGCGAGGAGGACACCACACCAACCACAGCAGAAATGGTCCTAAGGAAGAGTGCTAAGAATTATGTTCCTAGATTTGCATGGGCCCATTGAAAGCTAGCAGCAGGAGTGAGTGGAGCCCAGCCCTAGGCTGCAGGTTTAAATGCAGTAAATGCATTTCCTGCATATGCTWTCATCTCTGTGTAAGGTGTGGAGAAAGTAGTAATACGGAATCCAGTGTTGATCCATGCTAAATTTATAAGTAGCTCTGTAGTGGCGTACACATGTGCATGGGTCCTGCTGATCTGATTCTGTGGAACTCACTAAAACTCCCAGTTTCCTCTAGAAAGGAGCCTGGTTTCATGCTGTTAAAACAAACTTGTCAGATTTTGATACAGGACAAAGAATAGCTGAAAAAAAAAAAAGATCAGTGGATGGCCAATTAATGCATTTACTACTTCAAAGGCAGTGCATTGTTCTGCCAAGCTTATATATATATATATATATATATATTTATGTAACAAGGTTACCTGAGTCAATAAAAGGAGTACCCTGAAGAAAATCTCTTTGAACTATATTGTCCTGTTGTTATGCTTCTTTCAGTATTCTCTGCATCAGTGTGTAAATACAAGAACAGGAATAGCTTCCTGGTTCCCATGTTCTTTCATGTAGTTAATACTGCATTGTGCTTTCCTGAATATTTTTAGCTGCTTAAATCATTCACATGTCCTCTTGTTGTGTCAGTGCTGTCATTTTCTTGTATTTGTTTGGTGCTGATTTGGTTTCTTCCTGTCCCCTGCTGGCAGGATAGAAATAGAGCAAGCAAACAAAATTTCTGTGTTTTTGAATGAGGAAAATGTGTACCACGTGGTCACATGGAGCTTCCCTCAAATAATKGGGGATTTTTTTTTGCCTGCGTTTGAGTGTTTGTTTGTAAATGTTTGATAATGGCATTAAAAAAAAWAAAATAWTTYTTAYGTATATTAGCAGGTCCAGACTTAGTGCAAAGACTTSCTTTTTCCTGTTCCTCTCCCTCTTGTTAGCTTCAGACAACAATTCCAGTGTGTCCAGAGAGATGGGAATACTCCAGGCCTTCTCTTAGATGTTTTTTTATTGTGGCTACAGCCACGTTTGGCTAAAGCCATGCATTAGAAATGAGTAAGATCACAACCATGCGCCTTCCAAGGCAGCACACACAGAAAATACGAGATAGAGGGACCATCTCAGGAAAAACATTCCTGCCATCCTGTTGAGAGAGTTTTTTGCTTCTCAACAGGACTGCAGGTGTCRTTACTTAACCGAGAGCTGCTTTTATATTTTAGGTAACATGCCCTAATTCCTCATCTCTAACTGACTTAATGACTTTCACTCTTTTCTGTGTGAAATAATGCCTGCAGAAACACTGGCATCAATGCCAAATTAGTAAGAGTTGCTTTTTTTGTGTGTAATTTTAATGTTAACAAAGAGACCACAATCACACTTCTCTTTTTGAGTTGACATGTCCACTGATCACCAGTGGATCAGATTCCTCTGTTTTCTGTGATGGAAATTGCTGCAGCTGTAACTCAGAAAAAAGAAAAAGCAACGCTTCTTGTTAAGGGTTTGGAGAAGGAAAATTGTAAAACCTGTTACCCCSTATTGTAAAATCTGGGGATGGAAAGTCTGAAAATAGCAGCAAGGATTGAATAATAATTAAAAAAAAAAAAATCAAGATTTAGAATTAAACACAGAACCAAGAGGAATGAAGCAGTGTTCAGGTTTATGGTGGACAAGCTCAGACACATGCATTTTTTGCAAAGGCATATTAAAAGCCACCAAGATATAGTAAAAGGTCCACAGTGTACATGTGAGTTTGCTTTTATGGCATGGCTTAGATAAGGCTGGATTAAGTCCATACTTKAATATTACCACTTCAGTTTTCCTCTCACAGTCAACATGTTGGATAAGTGGGTATGCCTTTGTAAGAGAAGAGAAATACCACTGGTAAATGCTAATTCAGTAGTTTAAAAAACACACTAGCGCATTGAGTCTAAAACTCTCAAACTTCCATTTCAGATTTCATAGTAATTTATGTTATAAACTAACATTGTCTTTTTTTTTTTTTTTTTTTTTTTTTTTTTGTAGACACTACAGAGACAAGTGTTGTACATGTAACACAGCTGGAGAGAGATACCATTTTGGTGTGTTTGGATTGTAAGTTTTAGAACCAGCTAAATATATACATATTCATGTATATGCACACTGTCTGTCTTCAAATTAGGCCATATGCTGAAGATTAACTGTTGGTTTGACACATCCTATTTTTTGTCTAGGCTGCATAAAGATAGTGAATCTACAAGGCAGATTAAAATCCAGCCGCAAGCTGTCATCGGAGCTCACGTTTGACTTTCAGATTGAATCAATAGGTAAGTTGGATTTTCAGCCTTAATATTGACTCTCCTGATTGATTCACTTATTTCCCATTGCAGGAGGATATTAAAGATGCTGTCCCGTTTTTGATGTGCGAAACACGTTACTCATGTGCTTCACTGTGTCAGAAGGCTTAGTGGGACGTTGGGTGCAATCTACTTCCCCAGGAGCAAACAGAGCTCCTTAAAAGAACAAGCCAACATTGTGTCTGATTCTGTTCTTCTTTTTCTGTTAGTCTGTCTACAAGACAGTGTGTTAGCCTTTTGGAAGCATGGAATGCAAGGAAGGAGTTTCAGATCTAATGAGGTGAGTGCTGCATTTTGCTTTGATTTCTAGTATTTATATTATAACCCAAGTTTAGGATAAGTACATAAAATGCTATGACCTGAAGGAAAAAATAAATTTAAAAAAAAGGAAGAAAGAAAGGAAAAAAGGCGTTTCAGCAACATCCTAGGTGAGACCTGGAAGCTGCAGTCTCTTTATGTTTCATAAGCTGCAAATGGATTAGCCATGCTCTTCCAAAGATGAACATATAAATGGTGAAATATTTCTTTAGAACAAAGATGCTTTTATTCTTTACTGGTGGAAAACTGCATAGAGTAGCCAAGCTGAACACAGCATCCTCCTGACTTAATGGGATGTGATGCCCTCACTGCATAGGTGGAGTGGTGCAGTAGAGAGGCTGGCCAACCCAGAGGAATTGGCTTAGGCCAAGGATACTTTTTGCTGCTAAATTGGCCGCATGTGATTAAAATGAGCATTGGTCCTCCCTTGCACACTCTGCAAGGAAGCCATGTGATGTAGTTGGTAGAATTGTTGCCATAGGAAGTAACCAAAGCCAAATCTTGCTTACATTAGTGTTCAGTTTAAATTGCTTCGAAGACAATCTTTTTATCACAGTGGCACTCAATGGTTGCCCATTGTTCTCAGTCTCTTCTATGATAATTGAGTCATTTAAAGACTTTTTTTTTAGCACTCAACTTCAACAAATTATGTGTTCTCAGGAGAACAGTGTCAGACTGACCTAAAGGGTTTGTTCTTTACAAATTTTCTGTGCAGTCCAGCACTGAGTTTTAAACATAGTTAAACTATTGTAAGTATTTATAATTTTTTTTTCCCTCCTGTTGCAAAACTGTGTACGTATGGAAGCCTYGTGCTTTGGATTTTAATGAATCCTGGTTTGGTCATTAAAGAACACTTACAGACTTTTTGATGATGTTCATCCGTGGCGCATCAGCTGGAGAGGTTGAGTTCATTATGGCTAAAAGCATTTTAAGGTAGCTTGTCAAGTTTAGATATTTCACAGTATTATGCAGTTCTATTTACATGAAGCCACAACTGACCTAATCCTGCTTTGTGTGGAAAACTGGATTTTTTACTAGATCTACTAGATCTACTGGCTAGTAGAGACTACAGTCAGGCTACTCCTTATTTCTAAGTGTACAAATGATTTTGTGGCATATTTGATCACTGGACAGAGTTGTCCTTCTGCCAAGAGTGCTTGCTATGATGATAAAGGGCAATTCCCCTGCTCGTAGCACAGAGCACTTGGGAGGAGGAGATGAGTCTCAGCGTGTCTCCAACTCCAAAATGCTGCCCACAGCTGTTTGAGTTATCTGTTTAGAGTGAGACAAATTGCATTCCACAGGTAGCTATTTCACTCCTAATTCCCACGTCTCCAAAGGGATTTGCACCAGTAGCTCACAAGCTGTTAAAGTGCAGTGCTAAGCCCTGCTGGCCTGCTTGCAATTGTACCAGAGATGTTAATATAATAGAGCAAGAGTTGCAGAAAATTTTGATAGTCCTCATTTAAGAATGCCAGTTGCTCTAAATCTTCTGATTTAAATCAGCAGTGAATTCATAACATCCGTGATGATTCTCTAGGTTGTTTTTAATGCATTTTATGCATAAATGCCTGTCTTATTTTTGTTGTCTAGATCACACAAGAAATTTCTGATAATACAAGGATATTCAGGCTTCTGGGATCTGACAGGTATGCAAAGAACTGGACAGAGCATGTTAGAATATAAGTATAATTTATTATCTATTCCCCTTTTAAAAGCATTTTTGCTTGTTTCTTGTGATTCCTTTTGTAGCCTTTGCTCATTTCCTTTTGCATGCACATATGCCTGTGTCAGTCCCTTCCGTTTACTACTTTTTCTTCTGAAGGAATGAGAAGCTTGTGAGCTTCCCAGAGGTTCTCTGCCTCAGTAGCAGTCCTGCATTTGGGTGCAATTGCAGGTCTCTGGGAATGTCTTCCTTTTTGCACTGAACTTCCTGCGTTCACTTTGGTAAAAATCCTCACTTTTCAGATGCTCTGCTGCAGCAGCCCAGCAGGAGGCAAATCCTTTGAGGGAAATGCAGAAAATTCATAAGAATGTAAATATTTCCCATCTTCCCCCAGAAAGGGGTTCTAACTGTTGTTCTCCCAACAGGAGAACTCAGATGTTCCAGCGCCCTTCATTCCCAATCAGTCCCCAGTGTGGCTGTTCTCCAGTGTCGTCTTTGCAGGGCTGTTAACACTGTGCCTCTGTCTGACAAGTCTGATATCAGCTTGCCTACTTGGGAATTGCTATTTTAGGAGTGTCACTGACTTCCCCAACTTTCTTTGCCCTGTTGTCGAACTTTGTACTTCTCTAACAGCCGTGAAAACAGCAGATGTTCTGTTTGTTTGTTTCTGACTCGTTTTTCTGCTGAGAATTGCCTCTGTTTTGTGCCTCTTAGAGGGATCCTCACCTTCCTGTGGCATTGCGGAACCTCTGGGAAGTTTCGCATCAACCAGAGGCCAGACTTTGTCCTCGTCTGCTTGTCTAAGCTTGATGTGCAGCCCTGTAATTGCCCATAACATCTATAGCATCAAATAGCATCATGGCTTTACAAGCCAGCAACCTTACAGCTGGTTTTGCTGACCAGAGGTTGGAGATTCTGCTTTATGGGCAGTATCTCATGGCTTTTTGGTAACAGGGAACTAAGGGCAATACTGAATGTACCAAAATTGAACGCATGTAATGCAAAATTACTAAATGTAATGCAATGAACTCAACATTCATTGCTGATGTCTGTGCCAGGAAGGTGTGCGTAGAGCACGGCTGCATTGTGCTCTTTCTCTTAGTTGTGGAGTGGGACTGCAGCTCGATTTAAAAACAGGCTTCAGAAGGAAATACCACATTGCAGCTCGTTGTCTTGGATTATTGGCCAGTTATTGGACCATATTTCCAGCTCCTGTTGATGTTCTTCTAAATTTGAGACCAAGGTGAAATTTTTTTGCCCTGCAATTCTAAACTAATTCCAATTCTAAACTAATTCCAATTCTAAACTAATTGCAAACTCTTCAGACATCAATGACAGCACTGTCATATCTCATACTTTATCTTTGAAGCCTTGCCCAGTAACCTGTGCCCATTCATAGCTGGTTCATAGGAACTGGAGCTCTGAGAAGTCAAAGCCCTGACGTCGGTGTGATAAGAACTCACTGCTTTCTCTCAGTGAGCAAGGAATGCCCCATGCTATGAGATGTCATTTCTTTTTACAGCGTAGAAAGCAGAGGCCAGGTTTTCTGAGTATTAGTTTTAAAACAAGCAGCCTCTTCCTGGTTGAATTCTGAATAGTTGGATTCAAATTTCTCACCTTTTCTACCTTCGATCTTTAGTGTTTGTGTGACAAAATTTGGTCAGGAACAGCCAACAGATGAGCAATTCATAAAGCTTGATCCATTCAGCAGTCTCAGCGCCTAGTTAAACATCTTGAATAGGTTGTGGAAGTGAGTTGTGAATTGTCTCTGAAGAGAATGGATATTCTTTATGGTCTGTACAGTTTTAGTGTAGACCCAGCTAACCCAGTTTCCAGTCTTCAATGCTGCCCAAAAGCAGTGCCAGGAAAAAAGTATGAGAGAAAATTATATTTATAGCAATCCTTCCCTTGGAGCCTGTCTCAGCCTACAAGACTTTGTGTCTCTGAGGGATGGAGGATGTCTCTGTGGATTTAACGATCCATCACTGGACTATCTGGGCTCAGGGAGAAACTCACAAAAGAGGTGAATTCTGTCATGTCTAGTGGCCAAGAATGGGTGAAATGATCAGCTCATCCTTATCRCAGAATCACWGAAYRGTTGAGGTTGGAAGGGACCTCTAGAGMTCATCTAGTCCAACTCCCTGCTCCAGCAGGGACACCCAGAGCACGGGGTGCCCGGTCGCATCCAGGTGGATTTGGAAGATCTCCAGAGAAGGAGACTCTACAGCCTCTGGGCAGCCTGTGCCAGGGCTCTGTCACTCTCCCAGTGAAGAAGTTCTGCCTCACATGCAGATGGAACTGCCTGCATTTCAATGTCCAAATGCTTGCTGTCATTGAGTGTTCAGGATGACTAAAATGGTTTTTGATTTTTTGTCTTCTGAGAGTGGTCTGAACGTAGCTCTTTCAGTGCGCAGTGCTGAGTGTGGGGCGAAATACATGACCAAGCCTTACACACACATTTTCCATGGAGAGGTCCAGTGTGTCCTATGCACAGGTCTTTTAYAACGACAATTACAGTTTTCTTCTCCCCATACCTGGCAGCAAGTCAAAACAGGGGCTCTGTCTAACTTGGGGCTGCACACCCTTCTCAGAAGTGCTTGCTGAAAGGTGAGAGCAAGAGGAGACAGGTATCAGGAGCAGTGAGAAACTTCCAGACAGAGAAAAGTGAGGAGGAGATTGCCGTGAGGATGGTCAAGCACTGGACTGGCAGCCCAAAGAGGCTGTGGAGATCCTTGGAGACACCCTGGCCATGCCTGGACAGGACTCTGTGATGGCTTTGAGATGGCCCCTTCTCTGAGCACAGGGTTAGGCTCGAGGCCCCCAGGGAAGAAGGGGCTGCTAGTTCGGTTGTCCAATGGGAAGAATATTTACAGCTATMTCCAGTGATGCCTTTAAATGAAGGATTATTTGATTTACTGTGGCTTTTTTTTTCCCCCTTTGCCAGGGTCGTGGTGCTGGAGAGTAGGCCAACAGATAACCCAACAGCCAACAGCAATCTATATATCCTGGCAGGGCACGAGAACAGCTACTGAGACCGCTGCACGGCAACTCCCCGTGACGAGATGACACTCCTGCTGCAGCACTCACAGCAGGCTGAAAATGCACAAAAGCTGCAGCACCCCGACTTCAGTTACTTCCTAATTTATTGTGGCATGAGAAGATGATGAGAATTGTTTGTGGTATGGACACATTAGCATTGAGATACCACAGAAGTGCTTAATTTACTGTTATGTAATCTTTGTACATAGGCAGTATTCTTCAGCAGAACTTCTTGCTGAAGACCCACAGTGACCTTATGTAGATAGTGGTCCTCCTGATGAGTACAAGTGTCTTACCTGTACAGATGTAAAAGTCACTGAGGATGATAAAATGAAATTGGGGTACTATTTTAAGGACTTCTTGTGTTTATTATAAAGTGGGATGCTAGCAACAAATATAGTACATTTAACAACACTATTGTATTTTATTATATGTAATTTACTAATACAAATAAATCTTAACCTTTAGGAATTGTAACCAAGGCTGTAATTGGATTACAATTTGGTTTTTAATTTTGATGCAACACACTGGTGTTCATGTTTGCACAACGTATTGAGATGTGATGTATTTAGTCACAAAGGTAAGCTGTGACTTTGTGGATATGACTTGGGCTCCGGATTTCCTTCTTTTTGGTTTACTTGAGTAGTTTTCTTTGTGAGACAAAAGAGTTAAACATCTGTATTTTTATATTTAATTAAACCTCTCCTTACAATAATTTCTCTATGCTTGAGAACAATACTTCCTGAATGGGTGTCAATTCCCAAAAAGTGGTACCTTGCTGTAACACTGCAATAGCTGTTTGAATTACTTGTGTATACAGTGGTTAAAGATTAGCATTACTGTTCATCTTACTAAATAGTTTCATATCACAGTGAAAAGTAGCAACATTCCACACTGTGGAAATAGCTCAAAGATCTTGTCACTTTGACTTTTTTTGGCCTTAACCATTTTCACACTTTTTTTTTTTGATTTAGGGTGTTAACACATGGCCAAAATAATTTAGTTACTACCTCATGCAAACAATACAATGGTTACTGCGCATCACAGGAACTTAGTTTTGATCAGAAGTATTTTGATTGCTATTTTCCAATGGAGTATGTAAATGCCAAGTTTTAGCAAAATGCACACATTTGACTCCTTTTTTTTTTTTGTATATGTTCTTTATATTTTATTGTGATAATATACACTAAAAGCAAACTAAATTTAAAGTGATTTATGGCCTGCATTATTGTTGTGATTGGTAATGCTTTGGAAAATGTTCCCTCATGTATATAATGTAAAATAAACTTTTTTTAACACGTTGTTGTACAAGTAGATTACCACCTGCACTAATTTCTACATAAGACTAACCTGTGCTGATCAAATATACCAAGTTTTGAAGTCTCCTATTAAATGTTTATGTGCCAAACACAGAAGCTGGGCATGCTGAATATACGAAGGGTCAGACCTTTGGGTCCTCACTGGATTCTCACTAGCAAGAGCTAGCTCTTCAGGGTAGGTATTACCTTCCTTTTGCCTTCAGGCACCTGACCTCTACACTTCAGAATTTGTTGTCCCTAATTTTAGCTTACTTGATTAATTTCTGCCTTCTATGTATTCCCCCCATTCCATCACTTAGTTTTCTACGTACAGTGGCAGTAAAAAATGATTTTCCCCACCAGCAGG